GTTGCTATGACTTGAGGGCAGTGAGTTTTGGAGTGTGTGTGTGTGTAAGAGAGAGAGAGAGAGAGAGAAAGAAATCATTGTGAGCCTCCTGGGCTTATGTTCCCAAGTGCACAATGATGTCACCCCTAATTAAGTTTGTGCCCTGGAGCCGCAGAGCCACATCCCAAGTTCCAAGTTAGAGAGAAAAAGAGAAGTCCTTCAGAAGGTGATGGGAGCCAGGAGTCTGACTGCAGCCCGGGCAGTCTGGATGGAGTCTCACTTGTGATCTGAAGACACGGTTTCTATACTGTTACCCTGCACCGCACACTTGGCAGGAATCACGTACTTTCCCAGGCCCTTGCCATGACTCAAATCGCACGATGCCCATGTGGACCACAACAGTCAGGTCGACAGTTGAGAGTAGCATTCGTGATGCACAATGTCTTTTTGCCCCTCCAGGCAAAATCCATCATCCAGATCTCACAGCTGTCTTTGAACAAGACAGAAAGTTACCAACTTCCCCAGAGGCTGGGCTGAGGAACATGGCATGCATTAGGCTCACTGCAGACTGGGAGTGAGTGTTCCTTCAGGCTGGACGACAGTGCTGTCCCAAGGCGGCCCGAGGTCAGTCCGGTGCTTGTCCCTGAGCTATCCCGAGGGGAACAGTCAGCCTACCTCTCCTCCTTATTTGTGAGTCTGAAGAGGAAGTCACGTTTAATGAGCACATAGAAAACAAATTACGGACTTTTTTTTTTTAATGAAGAAGTGATTTTACAGGTACTTTCCAAACTCACTCACTACCCTCAGCGACTTTCTTAGTCTTAAATCCCGAAGTTCCCGTCTCCAAAGTGGTTTCTTTTCCTTGGATGAGCCCTCGTGCCTGGTGAAGCATCATTTGGCCTCTCTCAACAGTGTCTAGAGATGTATAGTTTTCAGTTCACTGTTGGAGTTAAAGCTTAATGTTAGTCTGCAGAGAATGGGTCCGTTTGCTTGTGAGGTTGTTACGTTTGTTGTTGTTTGTTTTTCTTAAGGACAGTAGACATTGTATGCCTGCATGACTGTATGTGAATTATGGCTAGATAATCCCCATTCCATTTGTTTGGTTGGATCTCCATGATACGGCTTTATTATTGAGAACAGACTGTCTATTTTCCTAATCAGTTATTTTTAGAAGTCTCCCAATGACAGAGATATCCATCAGCACCTTGGAAGATTTTAAAGGATTTAAAGTACCTATATTTTTGAAACTAAGACACAGCCTTCTAAGGGTTGTATGGGATTTATTTAGCCTTTCTTTGTTCTATAATTATATTTGTATAACAACTAAGAATCAGTGTCCAAAAGGTTTAGGTCTTGAGATTTTGTTGATGTCTTATAATATGTCATTTTTGCCCATATATTTCTATTAGTTGGAAGTGTAAGTGACATTATTTCCTTATTACCAGCTCACCCATAGTATAGTATTCTTGTAGACCAAAAGATGTGGACAAAAAGACTAACACATCAACATTTTGTTAAAGCAAGAGTTAAAAGAAGCCAGAAAAGGGGGGCTAGCCCTAGACCAGAGTGCCTGCGTAAAGCCCTGCAGGGAAGACTTGCCCTGAGCAGCAGAGACTCTGGGAGCTTACAAAGGAAACGGTTTGGTGGGCTGTTACCTTAGTCAGGAATCAGGACAGGTTCTGAGGCACACGTTTCCCGGTGTGGGCCGTCAGTCCAGGTATATGGTTTCAAGCGTACACACAACATTGGGCCAAGATGGAGTCCAAAAATGTAGCAAGGGCGCCTGGGATATTTAGCATACCTCCCTGGGCATGCGCACAACTCCTTTTTCTTAGTTTGAATCCCGTTAGTGCTAGGACTGCCAGTGTAGGCCAGCTACTGCTGACGATGCCTTTGCTGTGCATTCCCTTAAACCACAGCAAGCTGGTCTCTGGGGAAGACCTGAGAGCCAGCTGAGGCATGGACAGTGTAGGTTTCCCGAGTTGATTGACATGTCACATGGCCCTGC